CCGCGAAACACCAAACAATGAATCTTATAATGTCACTGGGACGACCTACAGGAGTCTCAGTGTCAATTTTACCGATGGACTCGGAGCATGAAAATTGGGAGATACGAAGCAAGTTGTTCGTTCGCAGTTTGTTGAATGTGACGGACACGTGTAACACGGGAGCTATTCTGCATTCAAATTTTAGCAACACAAGCATAGTTTGCTGCGCATAAAATTAAAGAAAAAGGTTAAAAGTTGTTGCTCGTAAAAAACAACTTTTTTATATTATTTCATAATGTTCCATTACCACGACCCGTAGATTGCTGACTATTTACAACATTTCGTAAAAAAGGAACCACTTACATTAATACATTATCAGCACTCTTCAAATCGAAGTATCATCCCACAAACGAATGTAAATTAACAGCGTTATGAGCCGTTATACGCATTTGTGCCCTCGTACAATATGGTTCACTAGAATAATAATATTTAACTATTTTTGACGTGGATCGTGGTTTATGTGCGCTCCAAGACTGATTCGTACAAGATATGGTTTCCTTATTTATTCTGTAAACGGCGGCTTTCATAAACTTTGCCGTATTCGCACGCTCTTCTGCTACAAAACGAGCAGAAGATGAGCCTGACACGGACGTGCGTCCTCTAGTAATAAATTGAGAATTAAAAACTAACGACCTCGAAAAACACTGCAGATGCTTTGGCGTTTTATTTCAACATTATTACATTACCAATGATTTCTTCAGTATGCCCTACATTGCTGAAAACTTTGGGTATTTGTCAAATATTGAAAATATTATTAACGTATTTCGATGCACTAGCATTTGTTCTCTTATTCTAGTAGTTGGCCTCTGTGTATGAGCGTACATACCCAAGTAGCAGAAAGTGGCTTTTAAAAGGGGGGACCACGTTTGGCCAATTTGGGCAGCCCACCCGGGCTGCCCTCAGGAAGTCTACAGGAGGCCTACATAGGCAGCCCACATTGGCCTCACCTTGAATCCCATAGACGACATATGTGAGAAGCCGAAGGGGTGTCCCTCATGGGACTCACTCTGGGCCTTTGTGGGCAGCCCACATGAGGTACCACAGTGAACCTCATTCCATTCTGGGTCATTTCATCATTCCCCTACATTGTGGGGTGTAGCAGTGTATCCAAACTTAGGCATGCCTCACTTTCCCCGCGTTCCTGGAGAGCAATTATAGTTATTTTGATAATTATATAAATGCGCGTGCTTTGAGCGATTTATAAAGCGTCTGAAACGAGAGCACACAAAATTGAGCATTCCCATGTTACAACATGGGACACAAAACGGTGCACATTTTTTTTATAATCGAGCTTTACAACAGATGATAACGTTCCAACAAGCTTGTTTGAAATTCAACTTCAAAGTGAATATTCCGAGCAAACAATTCAACCCCACGTAAAACGGTTATCTCTACTTAAACGTATAGCAGTAAGTTAGTGATGCCGCAAACCTGCTTAAGTTTGAGTTCAAAGCGTTTCGAAAATGTCGAACCTTGTTATAATGTTCAATTATGAAAGGCGAAAATTTTCAGATGCCATTTAGGTTAGAATTCGAAAAGTCGAGATTGGCAAGGTTTTTGAAAGTTCGACTTCAAGGATTTCAAATTACTTGACAAATGAAGATCGAAAAACTAAACCAATTCGAATTTACCTGGAATTCACAGTTTCAACAATTTCAAGACTCCAGATATTTTTGATGAACAAGCCTGAAAAGTTTGTATTTTTGTAGTTTAGGCTAGAAGTAGCAAATTTTACGGCCGGAGATTTAATTGTGCAGTTTCAAACGAAGTTTCCATAAAATCACCTAAAAAATCACGACACCTGCTGCACATTTCACTGAAAGCGTGTCATTTCTGTCCTTTGGACCTATGGTAAAAAATTTGTTTTCTGATAAGAACTGGTGAGCTTGTGAATTTGTGTATTAATTATATACAAAACGTAATGACCGTTACGCGCCAAGAGTAACTTCTTCAATTTTTGAGGATTGGGTCGCAGAAGGATCTCGGAAGGTTTTCATGTTTTATTATTATCTCGAAGTATTTGAGTGTTTATAGTTGTACCACTTAAATACGTTTAAATCAGGGTTGGGCAGTATCGCGATACAAATGTATCGCGATAGTATTTCAGGAATACATCTCGTATCTCTATTTCTGTATCGCGATACATTTTTTTCACCAGTATCTGTATTTCTGTATCGAAATACACTTTGAATGTTTCTTTGTACCGCGAAACAATCAGGGTGAAATGTATTTCGTTACATTTCTTGAGAAATACTCCCCCCCCCCCCAAAAAAAAAAAAAAAAAAAATCCGAACGCTTTTTTTTTTTTATTTTTGAGGGCACCAGGGTCAAGGAGATGCTGGGGTATCGGTACATGCTGACGAAGGTTCCTTCCGATTCTCCAAACTATTTTTCTATGCGTGCTCTTTTCTCTTCTGAGAACTGTTGTGCGGTCGGGGGCTCGAACCAGGTGGCGTGCAAGGAGTGGAGTCAGAGCATCTTGCGCCGCAGGTCCTTAGGTAGAGTTTCTTGAGTCATTACTTACGGGCATCCAAAGCCCGCTGCTAACCGTCTCTCTTGCCTTAGCGTACACAGTACACCCATTCGGCAAAGCTAAGTCACAGTCCGTTGCAGCACGAGCCTGGCGGAGGTTGACTTAAAATAGTAGGATAACTCGCGCAGTGAAGTTCAACAGATATTCGAATGCGTCTGCGGCTGCGCCCATAATATTGCACGGCTCAAGGGTACGTCATCAGCCGACGTGAAAGTGACCTGCTGCTCTGGTGATCCGAAACCTAGGAAAGAGGTCAGACGTGGCTTCGCTGTGCCGACCCAGACTTCGTACACCTGCGACTCGTCTCGAGCGCGCTGTTTCTCGGAGAGCTCACCTCTGCCGGCAATATCAGGTCGCAATCCACGAAGTCTCTATTTGGAATATGCAAGGCGAAACTTGATGACTACAATCCATGCGTCGGTGGCGGAGGGTCAGCAGGAAGGATCTTCACAACAGGGATGCCACCGTATTGTTTTTTCAACCGTAACAGAAGATAAGACATGTGTTCCAGGATGCTTCAGGTGGTCCACCCTTCTTGAAAATCCTGCACGATTTTCAACGAGGTAACCGACAACGAAAGCATGTATTGTCCTTTCATACAGCAGCATGTTGAAGTTCCATGTTCAAGGCCATACCTACAGATAAAGAATGCTAGTTTATTCCACCGTGACGTCATGTGATAAATGTTGATAGGGGTGTCCTTATTTGACAGGGGCGTGATGATAGGATTTAGGATGACAGAGAATTTATTTAGAGGTCTTTTCGCATCCCTCGTCAGACAGACAGGATGTCAGGGAAGGGACCACGGTCAGTCCTTGATGGAACGTTTTTCTGAGCCCACTGAAGACACCTCGTCGCCCGAAATCACTACCTTCAAGGCAAAGTGCCAAGCCTACGGGAAAGTAATTTCAGGATCAAAAATTTCCACTTCCAACTCCAAGCTTCATCTAATTTGGTCTCAAATAAAATTGAAAAATGTATTGCAGTATCAGCATTTCTGTATTTGTATTTCTGGCCTCCCTAGAATGTATTCCTGTATTTGTATTTCCAAATACTTTTTGCCACTATTTATAATGTATTTCCGATACGTATCGCAATAAACTTTAACAGATATATTTCAGTATCAGTATTTTAGCTTCTATTTTAAAGTATCCCAGTATTTGTATTTCCAAATACATTTTTGAGTATTTCTGCCCAACCCTGGTTTAAATTAACAACAGAGTCAGAACATCGACAAGCCAAGCACGTCCCACTGTTTGCTCTGGTGTTATAGAGTGACACAACAGCTGGGAGATTCCAACAAGAACAAATGGGACGGCTGTCTGATATAAACCTATTTATAAGACATCATGCGTCGTACGGAACGTATATTCTTGGTAAACACAAAATGCGAAAAGAAAGTAAATAAAACATTGATGTTTGTTCTTGTCAAAAATAACGAATAAAGCCAGGAATTGAATCGGCATACGGTATAAATTGCGAAGCCTTCTTACAATAGCTGGTGTGCCTGAAACAAAACACGCAACAGTTATGAAGCTCAGTAGTTATCTTTAAAAGCTACCGCACGTTAAAAAATTATTCCTGGGAACACAATAATATTTTTTATTGAGTAAGAAATGTTTTGCTCATATACTTTAACATTTGGGAAGTTATCAACAGAAACAGGGTAAGCATACGCACTTAAAATAATATATATCCCAGAAAGATATGAGAGCAGGACATTACGTCAGGTGTGTAAGTTTCTTAATAATCACAAGTTTCAGTAGTTATATTTTTGTACCCAAAGATAGCCCTAGACTTCAAAATGCGGCTGGAAGTATTGGTGTCATAAAGCCGATTTAGCGACTTACGACTTACTAAAATAGGTTTGCACATTCTCAAGCTCCAAGGAAACGGTTTGTAATCGAAACAAGGTTTTTATTTTGGTAAGATTGGTTTTATTACCACAATGACAACCACTTCAGACGTTCTGGGGCTATTCAGAACTGCAGCAAAAGCATATCATAGTGGAGAAACCATTTAAAACATGTATTATCATAGGTGCTAAAGCTAACAACTAATTTCTGAACAATGCAATTTTTTTATGTTAAAAAAAGTGATACCTCCTCAGTTATCTTATTGATAACATCTATATTGTTTTCTTTTTTATAATACCTGACACAATATTTAGCAAGAGTTGAAGCCCCATTTGTGTTTTTTTTTTATGGAGAGCCCTTTTTTTTTTAGTCAATCTAACAAATTCTCGACTGTTTCGACAGTTTGAGTATCTGTTGTAGTTTTTTTTATTTATTGCTTTCTCTCCTTTGTTAATACTATATTAGTAATCTGTCATTTCAGAATACACGCATTTTACTTTCTTTTGTACTAGAAAAACGGAAACCCCTGGTTGAACTAACTCGACTATTTCCACTTTCACAGATTTAAAAGCATGCAAGCCCATGGAGAAATCATATTCCTACTGTGGAGTATTGCGATGCTTCAAGAGGGAAAGACTTTCCTTGTACATCAGTCAGGTAGCGAATTCCTACAACATAAATATCCCCATAAAACATAAAATTGATTACAATAATGTCAGGCTAAAAGATCTACCAATCATATATCTGATGGGTTTTCCCATCTTCAAATCTTTACCCCATGTTTATAACTGCAAATTTAGCGTACCCGCAGGTAATAACCACCTCGTTTTAGTTCTTCCCTTTTGAAAACCTTCTTCATTGATTGGGATCTCCTTTCTCAGTTATATCGAACAATCAGAAAGTTTGATAGGTCTAATTGTTTTCACTGCTAATTAGTATTAGTGCTCTCAGCCAATATATTATCTTTATATTGCTTGCAGTCCTAAATGCCCACCTCATTTGCAACGCTTTGTGGCAGAGGTAAAATTAATAAATAGGGAAACATATCACACCATAATGTTCAATGTTTCTTCACACTGTGATCTGACGATTACGCTAACATTAAAACTGCAATATTGGATGAAATTTTGTGCATGTAAATATATGGCCTCGATGGCTCTGAAGCAAGATATCACCCTTCACGTCCTAAACTGGTGGGTTTTTATCTCAGATGTTTTGCCCACCACCTGGAATTTGCTTGCTCATGTGCACTGCATAGATTCCATTTTTAATTGGCACTCGATAAGTCTTAATGTGTTCATCGATGATGTGTTCATCGATGAGATGCCATAATATTTTAGTCGGTCTGCAACTCACATAGACGAGCTCTTTCCAAACTGCTTTTCCGAGGACACATCTTGTTTCTGGCGGGAGAAATACGATTTTATGTTTGAGATACACATCCTTATAGACCAACACGCGGCGCGGCTCTGTTTACCAACACGGCCGGAAGGCCACGCATGCGCAGTAGTTATGTGGCCAAAAGCGGCCAGGCTCTCCATGTTTTCGCCACTGCGTTCCATGGCGTGCGCGCGTTGTTGGCGTTATAGAGACGCTTCTAGCTCTATTTGTGCTTCGTATTTTCTGCCATCATATGTCGTACGTTATACCCGACTATTTGAGCTCGCTACCCGAGCCTGAACGGCAGTGGTATCGAGACGAACTGTGCGTGGACGGAGTTGCCTTCCACGATCCGTACGCCGTAAGCAAGACCTGGTGCAATTCCGACGCGAAGTTGCTGCCACCGACGTCGACGGCTTACGCCGTCGTTTCGCCGAGCCAGTTGAAGGCCGACACCGAGCAGGCGTAGAGGTCTCTCCAGTCCTACGATTACATCCAGCCGGTTTCCGCACTACCGGCGAGATCAGCAGACTGCGGGTCTGCGGAAGTGTATTTATTAATTGATTAAATACGCACAGCGTTTTCGAGTCACGGTATGGTATTTTTCCTACCCTCATGACCCCAAGGCATGAGAAGCGGTAACGTTTTGTCCGTCCTGCTGTCTTAGCGGCAACACGTTTGAAGTAACAGTGTATCGGGTAACGCGTTACTTTTTTCAGTAACGTAGTAACCTACTCGTTACGTTTTCGAAACAGTAACGGGTAACGTATTTACGTTACTATTTTAAGTAACGGGTAACGTAGTTATGTTACTCGTTGGTTCTTCTTGTCAAGTCATAAAGGAATTACACTTCAATTTTTTTCGTGTTTTTAAGCGTCAAGCCACGTGAATTTCTGAGTTTTCTGCTTTTTCCTTTGCATTTTTTCCCGTGAGTATTTAGGTGAAACCATAAAAAGAGCTAAAGTAATTATGTTCAGTTTCTGCATGAACATAATAGTTCTTGAAATATGATTTTATGCGTACCTGTACCATCAAAACAGTAAAACGAGTTAAATCATAATTTAAAAAGTAACGTGCGTTACTTCTTATCGGTAACCCGTTCCTATTATTTTGAGGTAACGTGGGTCGGTTACGCGTTCCTTTTATTTGCAAGTAACGAGTAACGCATCTCGTTACTTTTTTTCGGTAATGACTACAACACTGACTTTCTGTCGCCGATTTTCTTCCGCCTGATAGCGCGGGCGTAGCAAGCCACCGACATGCGCTTGGCCGGTAGTTTGTGCTCAAAAACCGTGGGAACAAAATCCCGGTGGTCTCAATCAGACTACGGTTTTTCTGCTCTTAAGCAAGCCTCTGGACGGAGATTGAAATGGAAGTGAGACTTGCCTTCAAGAAAGTGCTTGCCGTACGAGCGGTCGTTCGCGCGAGGCGACCGTTATTTTCGATCCACGGATCTTATCCACCTTCTGCGCCCTTCAGAGTCAGCCGGGAACTTGTGAGAACTCACCGCGCAAAGTTTTTTGTACCTTTCGGTTCAGTTAACGGCTACACAGCTTTGCGGCATGCTGAAATGCTATGACGCCCAAGCAAAACGTGAGTCCTTTGCTCACATCACCCGGCGCCGGCGCGATCGCAGCGCCACCGCAGCTCCGTGACGTCAAGCACGCGTGTCGGTCTATACTCAATGTTTATTATAAATTTAATTTTTTTTAAGAGAAACGTTGAAGTGAGATTGTGACCAGCTGACAAAGATTGTTTTCTGGAAGTTCTTCTGCTCTAAACATCTCGTATCAAAGTAAATATATAATATAGTGTAACTACAAAGACTGCAATAACGATGTACTGCTCAGTATGGTTGTTCTGGTAGAAACGCGGCCAACTTCATAAGTATAAATCTTGAAAGAAATTACGTCTACTTTTAGACCATGTGTTTCAGCAACGAATTTCAAATAGCGTGAAAAAGGGTGGTTGAGAAGAAATTAAACACTTTGCTAAAAAAATTGCCAGCCTCAATACATATTATGTCCGCCACTAATTGCGAATAAAACACTAATAGGCTAAGTAATTACCTAAAACAACAATAACTTTTTAGCTCGTGCGAATAATTATATGGTTCTAATTAGAAACTAGATAGTTACAGCCATAGCCTCCTATATATTGACCAAGCCTGGCAGATCACTCCGAGAAGCGGCCACCGAAAATTAAAAGGTGGAGCGGCAGACAACGCATGACAGGAGAGCCACGTGACTGGCGCGCCGCTGTGGCACCGCAGCACACTTGTTCACTCTCACGAGCGAACAAGTGTGTTTCAGGTTTCCGCCGCTGCAAAAGTTGTGCGCTGACGTCCAGTTTCCCCGAGAAATGACTGCGACTAGGCACCCTGTGGCTCCTTCGTCGAACTTCCACGCTTAGTGAGTATAGAGGAGGCTATAGTACAGGATTTTACGATGTTCCCAAAAACGCTCAATTAGGGCGCGTTTCTAGGTGTCGGGTTCCTGTCGGAGCGCATATTCGCGCCTGCTGAGCTTCCCCAACGTGGCCGAGTTACCAAGCTACTGCCTCGCCTCCCTCATTAGATGGAAGGAAGTGTAGCGGACGTGCGTTGCGCGCCTCGCACAGTTGAGGGCAGGACCGCTGGTGCAAGGTGCTCTCTGATAGAAAAACCAAAACCTTAAAGCGCGCCCAAATTGAGCGATTCTTCGGTATGCGGTAGAACGCTGCACGTGCCTTAGTGTTTTTCGCAAATATGAGTTTATTTAGTGGCTTTCAAGGTATTCATTTGTGATGAGCAAAATGATTGACTAATGGTAAGGGTTTCGAAAGAAACGCTGCCAGCACGCGCTCACCGTGATGCGGCAGCACCCTCAAGGAGGCGTTGTCTGGGCTGAACTCCCTCAAATCTGCGCTCCACGCCGCCCCCCCCCCCCCCCCCCTTCCTTACAAACCCAAGCGCCCGCGAGGACACATGCAGAGTTTGTGTGACAAAGACGAGCTCGGTGTCTCGTGCTGGATTAGCTCATTATAATATTTCAGACACGGGTTCGGGCTTGTTACGTTTTCTGCTAAGCGTAACCTGTACTGACCCGGTGATTGCTCCATGCCCTTGTGACGTCTTCCCGGTAACGGGGCCCAAACTCAGGTTTGTAAAAGCAAACGAGTTTTATTGAATTAAAAAAAAATTGAATGTAACAAAACGCTCTTCAATAGGGCTGGGCGTGGATTAACGAGTTTAACCCAATTAATCTCCACTATTTAATCAATTAACTCCTCGATTAATCGGTTTCGTTCATTCCCCCGAATAATAGTCTTAAAAAGGTCAACATTAAATTTTTTTCATCGCCGAGTATGTAACCAACTGCGTAGTACAACTTCGGATTTTAAATCAACCTTCATGTGTGGTTGAGAACAGTCAAAAGACACCAACACTCACAAATCAGTACTTCAACCGAGAAGGCAAAGTTGTTTATCGATATTCCACGGCAATAGTAAACTCCTTGGATTGGGCAGAGTCGTCTCTGCTGCACTAAACGGACACTCGCGCGGTCCTGAAGTGGCCGGGACGCGTATAACCCTCCCACTTGTTTGGAGTTGCAAATATCGCCCCTACATTTTACTTCGGGCGGTCAAACTTTCTTCAAATATTTTCCTTCATACATGTCTACTCATCCATGTCTGCGCAGTTAAAGCTTTAAATGTTTACTTCTTTTGTTTTCCAAATTTAAACCGATTAACCCGTTAAATAAATTAATTGCAATGAAGGCATTCATTGCTTAATGGGTAGGTTAATCGACCAAATGACCAGTCCTACTCCTACTCGTAAATGCCGAAATGCGTCACAAACAGGTTACGCAACTCTTCACCCCGCTGGCGCGCGGGCGGAGAGGACCATTTAGCGAACTAAACAAACGGAAACTACACGGAACAACAATACAAGAGGTTACCATTTAAACTTCGGCCAACAATTTGAGTGAACGCAGAGTTATACAAATGCAAAACAAAATACGTAAAGCTAAGGTGCACAAATTAAATGACGATTATATAAAGAAGGTGAGTTGAGGGAGAGTCGCATTTGCCAGTGCCCCAGGAGCGTCGGCAACCTCCTGCGATGCCCTGTTCCAGGGGGGGAAGGGTGGGCCCGGTGGCTTCACGGTGGGCTAGTGGACGGCTCGATGTGGCCGACCACACACCCCCGCACGCACTCCTTAAAAGGCTTTCCCGCCTGGACCTGGTCCGCTACCGGCGCACTTCCCGAGCTCGACGTGACGATTCGGCGTTTCCGGTCTTCATAGCCTCCCTCACACTGCCTTGCATTCCGTGTCCACGTTGTCCTAGTCGCCGGCTCGTCTTTCATTCCCCTGCCCACCAGGCCGAACTTTGACCCAACATTCGGCTTTAAGCGGGCTCGGTTTTTAGTTTTTCCAGAAACGGGGAGAACCAAAAAAGAAACCAGACCCCCCTCTCTTTCTCGGCGCGCTGAGAGGTGGGGCGGTGGTCGGCGACCGGACGTTCCCTCTAAACAAAAACACCCAACAAAACGACAAGTTGGATACTGTAACAGCGTAGCCGGATTTTGTGACATAATAACGGACTTAGATATGGAGAAGGCGTCTTCCGGATAATCAGTCGCGGCGGGTGGCGGAAATCGAACATGCAATCGGGAACAAAGAGTACGCTTATATAAAAAAACATAAATGCTGTAACATATTTTGGGTAAAATAATTTTGACATGTGAGTCATGTAGCACAAGGCGCATTGAAATATATGTGGATGATAGTCTTTGAAAGCATTGAGATTCAATTTAATAGTCTAGTAGTTAATGCACCGTTTCTTTTGGTATTTTAATCAAAATTTATAACATGCTAGTGTTCGTTTACCTATTTCAAATTCATATGATCAAGTTGCGCGAGACACACCTATTATATACCTGTCATATTTAGACGGCTCAAAATTTAATAAAAGCAACTTGCCTTAGTGCATTTTCAGCCATGAGTCACAGTTGGTGATCATGGCGGCCATTAAAAAAGAAGTAAATCAGTTAATTGTTGAGCAGCTTAACGCAAACTCTTCAATCAACTTTTTTTTTTCTATTTCCGGGGGCAAAACATATCTTTGGGGAATAGAAGCTCGACTCAAATTTGCCTAACCGTGAAATCTTTATAAAATTATTTCGTGGGCGCTATGGTGCGCGAATGGGCACACTTGAACATGGCTTGAAACCGAAATTAAGCGGGAGGAGAGAGCCCATGTCGTCAATTCCGGTGCATTCTACCACCTCCAGAACCGCTGTCTGCACACTTAGTGTCAATTTGAAGCTCTCTAAAAGAGTGACATTTCTTGCCCCTTTGTAGCCTCTACAAAATACTTTGAAATTTCACAGCACCTCTAGACTACATTTAGGTGGAATGTAAACTTTACGAGTATAATACGCCTAAAAATAGAACTTTAGATCGTAATACAATATGTATAGTTAATTAGCTAGTTTATTAACCCATTTAGTTTTTTTTTTGGTTGCCGTCTTTGTCGCTAAATTGTCCCCAGGGAAATATAAGTTTCTTCTTTCAATCCCTAGGTAAAACAAAATATACACCCTATATAGCGGTAAATTGCTTATTGGAAAAATCAGCGCAATATATATTATTAATCCGAAATAGAATATAAAATTCCCTTTACCGTTTCTTCATTAATTTTCGTATTATCTTCCAGGACAGAAGAATGTCTGTGAGACAGAGGAATGCAGAAATTTAGGTTTGAAACCACATTTTGTACATTAGTGTTGTTAGGCTAATGTAATACTATCTGAACAGAGCATATGGTAATTTGCCATGTGTTTGCTTCTCAAGTAATACGATCGTTCAAATGACATAAAATATTCCCGAAATGTTTGTTGATACACTATATTTTGGGATCAGATGATTCGTTCAGTATAAAAATCCGCTAAAGCAAGCTCAACACAGATTCCAGACTGCAATAGTAATTGTTGAATTTTACATATGGAGTTGTTATTGTGATTTTGAGAATATGCTTCACAGCGAAACGACTTAAGGAGGAAATCAACGATAAGGTGAACCCCTGCGACGACTTCTACGAGTTCGCCTGTGGCAAGTGGAAAAGTACGACTCGAATTCCAGATACATCGACATCAATCAGCAAGTTTGTTGAGGCCATTCAACAGATGGAAGCAAAAATGGCAAGTATGTATCACTAATGTAAATACATAATATAAATCCTAGTTATGCTTCAACATGTTTACTTCATCCAATATTTCAACATTGCACGGTGTATTTTGTTTTGTGCCTATCTTAAAACCAAGGACTCAAAAAACAACTCTATCACTTTCATCCAGAAAGTACCTCAATTGTATGCAACATTTATAAATAACAGCAATGTGGAAGGAGTTAGCCAATTTTACGCGAAATATTTGAATATCTAGATCACTACAATGTTTTCACAAGCCTTTTCTTTGTCGTTGTCAGATAGGGATATAGACCGCAAAAATATTACCCAAAGCTAGATGTATTATTGGGAAAAGGTGCACAGTTGCAACCAGATATGGGAAAGAATAACTTCAGGTTGACCATTAAAGATATTTAGACAGACCAGAAGTTTGTTAACAAAACCCTTTGAATTCGTGCTGTGAATGTTATATTTAGGGGTTTCTTGAATAATTGTTTTTTCTAAACCTTTTACCGTACGAATTTTATATAGGAATTTGAATAAAATATAACAAGGTTACCCATATAATTTCTTTTTATTTTACGGTGACAGCGCAGAGAAACAATCACACACCAGATACTCAGCGCGTGTGCTTGTCTTTCTGAGTATCTGGTGTGTGATTGTTTCTCTGCGCTGTCAACGTAAAATTTGGTTTACCAACTCGCCCAAGCATTCATCCTATCCTTCTAAATATTTCTCATGACAGTACGTGTGAGCCTCATAATTGTTTTTACAAATGTGAGCTTTTTGGGATGACGGATGATAATGTGTCATCAGATGTGCACAAATATTTATGTAAATACCACCTCTCGACTTAGTTATTTTTGATCAGAAGCTTTCTCTTTCTACTCTTCGTCTTTTGCAGAGAGCATTTATATCTTGCGCTTATTACAATTGCCTTTAGACTGCAATAACTTCAGGTTTAACAACGCTCATTACTTAAATATTCAAGGTGCTGCTATGTGATCAAAAATGACCTCAAATTATGCTATCTTTATGGGTAAATTTGAAGACAAAAACTTTATTTGGTCTTATACTGAGAAGCCGGCCATATATGCCTGCTATATTGACGGTGATCTTATAATCTAGAACGACCCAGAAAATACACGCCTTTCCTTCGTCGATTACATTAACGGCTGTCACCGCACAATTAAATTTACTTGCAATTGCTCCGTGAGCACCACGCACTTTCTCGATGTTAGCGTTAAAAAACTGGGAGAGAATTTACTAACAGCGCTGTACAGGAAGCCTACATGCAAGTGCAATATATTTTGCTACGATAACTACCACCCAAAATTTAAGAAGAAATCATATACCTCAGAATCAATTCATTTGGTTACGTAGAATATTCTCCGTAGACACGAAATTGAAAGAGAAGTTAACTTCACTCAAAAGCACGCTACTTAACAAAAACAAATATGCCAAATCTATTTTTAATGACGCCAAAAATAAAGCGCCCGCTTCAGTCTTCGCAACAACTCCGCCCTAAAGGAGAAGGAGTACCATTTGTTACCAACTACTACTCGAACATATCAAGACTAGGTTCTATACTGAAGAGACATTTATTATTCATGCACGCCGTCGAAAAACTTAAAGAAGGTATTTCCCGAGTCACCCTTTTCCACTTTCCGCAAGCATCGAAGCCTCGGGAAAATGCTATGTTCACATTATACGAAACGTTCGAATTCATCCGGTGGCTGTGGTCGTTGTCGGAGTAAACCGTGCCAGCTCTGCACTTTTCTTTTTGACCGCTGATTGTATTTCGAGCTGGGCAACAGCTTTCTTCATTATTAATAAACGACATATTTACTTCAAAACTTCTAACGTGATATATATTATCAACTGCACACTCTGCATCATGCAATATGTAAGGGAAACTAAAAAATATCCACACGGGAGGGATTCTATGGCCACAGGTCGGTTATTGTAAAAAAGAGAAATATACATGTTACCAAACACTTCAACTCTGACGTATACCGTAACATCATACGCATCTCAAATTTATCATCCTGAAAAGTAATTAAAAAAATATCAGACTTGAAAATGAAGTCATATTGCATATCGTAATTTACTTCGTTGGCTCTAGTAGGCATCAATATCTCAAAGGGAAACCTCCATAGATAGTTGAAGGCTTCTTGTTGGTAAAGGCAAATTCCCATCGCGTCGATTAAGACCTCTGAAAAAAGTTAAATACAAAAAGTAATAGCATGCTTTTTTTTTTTGGGGGGGGGGGGGGTTCTTTTGCTGTTAGGTTTTTTGTTTACATGACCTTGAGCCAACGTCCCCTGACGGGCCGAACTTACTAGAATTTGGAAACTTTTTAGTTGAACGAACAGACAGCGAAAGGTTCGTAAAAGAGACGTACCTTTCTGTGTTGGTTCATTCCACTAAAAAGTTTCCAATTTCTTCCACCACAGTCTCAGGTGTTATATGACATGATTAGCTATCACCAGCTTGCCTGCACAGTCACTGCCTTTTTCACTACTAGAACTTAAAGCTTTCACTGGGACGCTATTTGTCTCCACGCCGCTTCACGCGTTGTGTGCACTTACACCGAGACGGTGCTTTAAGACCCGCACATCCTGCGTCGTCTCTTCGTCTCCGGTGCTGGCTGTTCACTCATGTTTTCTTTTAGATTGTTTTTCTGGTGACGCACGTAGTTTTGATCTTATATTTGTTATTTCTGTTCAAAGGAGGTCGTAAAGATAAAGGGAACACCGCCTTTTACTATATTTTATTGCTTTCCGCGGAGACTGCCATGACCGGGTTTTCCATTTTTTTTGTATCGTGCCAGTGTGTTGTTGCACACGTCGCCCACTGTGCGTGTTTATTTTCGGGGTTGACTAATTTTGTCTGCTTACATTTGACTCCCTTCTCTCTCTCGATTCCGGAAAAAACACATTCGGCAAATTCGATTTTTCTACGCTTGAACAAAAACAGGCTCTGCTCGAAACGTCGAAAATAAGGCGCACTATTTTTCTGTCTGATACTTTCATGGTAAAGAATTGCTTATTAACACCTTGGAGGCTGAATTACTAAGGTTAATGCTTATGTTTATCACAAACCCTTCAACCGAGTGTACGCAGGAAATCTCTTCTGAAGATAAAAAAAAGAACAGAATAACTTCCAAGAGGTAGGACGTCCCTCAAATATGTTGTATTTATGTATAGCTGTGTATATGTGTACATTATTTCTAAAGTATCTCTTTGACCTGCGCAGTGTCTGGTAAGAAGTAAGGCCTAAAGTATTTATTGTGCCACAATCGAAAGCGAGCATGTATTAAACCGTCTCTTCTTTCTTCGCTCTTCATTGTTCCTTTCTCTTCTCTCTTCACATGTCTTCACCTGTCTCTTCTCTAACTCTTCACACTTCACTGTTCCTTTCTATTTGTGCGTAATTTTAACCATGTTCAATCATTACCAACTCACCCAACTAACCACTTTACTACAATACGTATTAAACAGATTTGTGTTAACCATATAAAAGTGTATATCTTTTCGTGTCTTATAAACTTTTTTTTTTTAATTTAGGCCTTCTTGCGAGTAAGCCAATGATTTACGACAAGAAACAGTCGCTTGAAGACAAAATGGCTATTCTCTTTAAAAGCTGCGGAGACACAAGTAAGAATTGTTCAGCATTTATTTCATCATGCCGTGGTGCAGAGATAAATGAAAACACGCGGCGCAAGTGTTACCCTTATCGTTATTTGAATTGCATTGATGTTAAGACACACCTGCAAAATTATTTGCAGGTGATCTCCTTTTCTTTAGTACACACGCGATGTTTAGTATTGTTTATGTGTACTTTAACATAGTGTGTATTTGACGGTTGCACGACCTGTCTTAATTTTTAAGCTTGTAAAATAATATTTTGAACAGTATATTATCACTGCCTTAGTTAGTTTTGAGGAGTTAAAATAACAACATTAATAACAATAATTATAATCATAGTATTAATATTTCTTAATATATTTTCTCCATTTTATAGATTACATTCTATCCACCCCTTGTGTGTAGTCTGCTATGTTTTTGATGTTTTTTTGCCTTTCGTTACTTTCCCATACTACCTCTTCCGGTAAAACACAACACAACAACAACAAAACAAAAATTTCTAGAGTTATAGTAGTGTTTGTGTCCTGATAAACAAATAGCTAACTCATTACCACTGGTAAACAAATAGCTAACTCACTCTCACGTGTCTATGCTACAGAGACGCCCCTTTCCTTCTTTATCTCTCCCTGTATCTTGACATAAGGGCGTCAGCGCAGCGCTCTAGCTGGCGGCCACATCAAGCCCTATGTCAATAAGCCCAGGTTGCTATTGACACTCCGGTGTTTACCCGTTTCCTAGACACAGCACATTTTAGGCTAAGATAATAGCGACACCAACTGATGAACGCATCTACCAGTACCGCTAAGAAAGAGAGCCAGTCTGGCAGGAAAGAAGGATCAAGAATCCTTCTACTGGAAACATGCCGGATGACAAGCAGTTCGCAAGCGGAACCTTACGATGAATCTCAGTCAGATGGGGAGACACACGGGGAATGAACTAGCGCATTAACACGAGTGAACAATATTCCGAAGGCCAACAAAGCAGACGGGTTCCTGACCATTGTGGGTTCGAAAACGTACGATTTGCTGAAGGGGCTGACCGCCCGAACACTCCGGCCAGCCAACCGCTACTGGAACTGCAAAACGCATTACGACAGCGCCTTCCGCCCAGACCATCAATTATTGCCGAAAGGGCCAAGTTTCACAAAATATTGCAGCAGGAATTTGAAAGCATCTCGGAGTTCGTGGCGAACCTCAAACAATATGCACAAACATACAAATTCGGAGCGAATTTAGAATCGACGCTCACAGACAAATTTGTGTGTAGTTTAGCCCCAATGGACATCCAAATAAAAAAAAACTGTTTATGAAGGATGAGTCTCTTACCTTAAATAAAACAGTTGGTATCGGATTATCAGTAAACGTGACTTCCAGAACGTAACAGCGTGCCGGCCCAGTCGAACAGCTCAGGAGGACGTCCCAAAGTTTTACGCAGAGAGACGCCGTGAACGGGACAGCTCTTCGTGCTCGCTATGCGGCTTGCGTCACCGCAACGGTGAGTTCCGATTACGAGCACCGACGTTCCTTAGGTGCATCAACCCAACCGACGTCTAGTTCCCACCCCCCAAGAGCGAGCGGGAAAAACACAGAGCGGAAAGGCGTCCGCAAGCTAATCTTCGGCGTGTTCGAGACCGAGGAGGGCGTCGAGCCACAGCTCCAGACAACACCAACGCAAAAAGCGGGTCACGGGTCGATGTGCTTTACAACCTATATTCAGGGAGTGCCACTAAAAGTGAAACTGGACACTGTAGCAGCAGTATCGGTGATGCCTCACCGGCTGTTTGGGTCATGTTTTCCACAGGTGAAGCTTAGAACGGCTTCTGTGTGGCTTCGTACGTACACAGGGGAGTGCGTGCTTCCGGAAGGGGTGGCGAGAGTAACAGAGAAGGATCAACATCATTCTCACAAGATGCCTCTGCATGTTCTCCCCAAGGAGGGCTCTTCCCTCATACGAAAAGACTGGCTGTACCCGCTTCGCCTAAACTAGAGTAGCCTCAACCACGTAGAAGCTGAAGACCAGCAATCCTTGGGACAAGTCTTGAACGGGTATTGCCAGATGCTGAACGACGAACGCGGGGAGATTTAAGATGAGCAAGTTCAGCCCTCTATCAAGCACGAACTACACCCGAAGCTTTATAATGCTAGAAGCATTCCGTTCTTGCTGAAAGAAGCGGTAGAACAAGAACTTGAAAAACGTTTTGGCCTTGGAATGATGGAGCCAATTTCGTACCTTCAATTTGCCTCATCGATTTAACCGGTGGTGAAAAATGGAACTGTGAGCATCTGCGGGGACTATAAAGCATCGCTGAACCCGTGCCTAAACATCGACAAATATTCTTTACACAAGATAAAAAAAATAATTGCCATACTGTCGGAAAGGCAAGTATTTTTTAAAATTAAATTCAATATAACGTACCAGCAAGTAGTTATCGACAGGGTTTAACGCGAGTACTTCAACCTTATTACGTATAAGGAACTATTCGCAGTAACTGCCTAGCATTCGGGGTTGCATCTGCACCTGCAATCTTTGAGAAGATTATGGATAACATGTTAAAAGGACTGAAAGGGGTCATGGTTTTGGAATTTTTTAGAAGAATAGAGATTAAAAAAAAAGATCACACCAAGCGGGGCTTGAACCCCGTCCCTTGTGACTTCCGCGTGCGACGCCAGATTCGCCACGCCAGCGGCAATATAACACTTGCTTTTATGAACTGACTGGACATGCACTAAGATTATATTACATGATGTAAATAAAATGTTTTTTTTTATTTGGATGTAAAAAATAAATTAATATGTCTGCCTTGAAGCTGCAGTGAAGCACATTATATAACCTAAAACCGTGCAGGGTTCTGACTGCGCATTAACAATAACTTACTTCTTTTCAACGAACTATTAAAAAAAAAACATTATAGCATAGCAGAAAAAATAGACCACAACTTCGTTAAACCGTAACGACTAAGTAAACTTGAAAGCTATAAGCAATTTCGTTTGTTGAAATTAAACACTATAGGTACCGCCCACTGGCTATCTAAAGTTAGCGTTCATGTTTATGTTATGCCTGCATATTGAAAGCGCGCGTAACTAACATTTTATTTCACTTTTATATGATATTACATTTATATTATGTTTCATGATATTCTTTTTGTTTTAGCCGTTACACGAACGACAGAGATTGCTGAAGTAAAGAACTTAATGAAAAAGTTCAATTTTGGATCATGGCCACAGACGACAAGTCAATCTCGATCTAAGGGCGTCTTTACAAAGATGTTAAAGGACGCTGGTTATCGTGGACTGTTCAGAATTACTGTCGACGTCAACATCTTCCAAGTTTCACAGTACACAATTCACGTGAGTTTCACAATATAATTGGTGTCATGCACCGTCATTGTTTTATACCAAAGCAATGGAAAGGTTTCATTAAACCATTTAGCCAATTTTTAGAGCTCAGTTCTACTTGTTTCAAAATTGTGAAGTGGATATCATTGATCTCATTATTGTGTAAAGTTAAGTTGAGTCAAACTTTATAAAGACAAAAAAGTAACACGCAGTAAAAAATGGCGGTTTATTATGGCCAAAATTTAACGGTCAGACTTTTTAATTTGCAAACACTTGATTGGTGACAAGAAAAAGTAGTGCGTGCTTACGTGAGCGCGAGCGAGTCCGGCCTCTAATAATTTTTTGAATGAAATCTGTCTTCCTTCGAAAGAAGAAATTTAAACCGATCAAAAGAACCGATATTCATCCCGTACGACACGCCTGACCAGCAAGCCGATTGCACAAAGACGTCGCCGAGCCGTCGTCCCTTCTCGTGGCTGAAGACATCGCTCGCTCAAACGTCAAGCGAGAATTGCGTACTTGCGTACTTCGAGTTGAATACGTGGCCAATGCGTGGTGCTGCCCGACTTCAAGCCGGGAGCGCATGTACTGGAGGGAAATCGGCAGCACACTTCCGACATACAGTCTACCCGCTGCATTACTATGTATGATAGAGTTGCTTTAATAGCTCAGGGGAAACACGTCCGCTTAACGCGCAGCGGGCAAGGGTTCGATTCCTAATCTTGTCATACATTTTGCAATGTTTACATTTCTTTTTTTACAATTATCACTGAAAAAATGAAAGCCGCTTACAACTCCCTGTAACGCCGAATTAGAGCGCAGCTCTTGAGGAGGAGGAGGGAAGGGCACTGGGGGGGGGGTTAAACTAACCAGGGGGGGGTCACGTGACCTTGGGGGTCACGTGACCCCCAATGCCGATGATGTCATCACTGACGTCACTGATGACGTCATCAGTGACGATGACGATGCGGGTACCGATGACGTCATTAGTGACGTCACTGATGACTTCACCAGTGATGATGACGATGACGATGCGAATGTCGGTGACGTCATCAGTGACGTCGCTGATGACGTCATCAGTGATGATGACGATGACGATGCGGATGCCGGTGACGACATCAGTGACGTCACTGATGACGTCATCAGTGATGATGACGATGACAATGCGGATGTCGGTAACGTCATCAGTGATGATGACGATGACGATGCGGATGCCGGTGACGTCATCAGTGATGATGACGATGACGATGTGGATGCCGGTGACGTCATCAGTGATGATGACGATGACGATGTGGATGCCGGTGACGTCATCAGTGATGATGACGATGACGATGTGGATGCCGGTGACGTCATCAGTGATGATGATGACGATGCGGATGCCGGTGACGTCATCAGTGATGATGACGATGACGATGTGGATACCGGTGACGTCATCAGTGATGATGACGATGACGATGTGGATGCCGGTGACGTCATCAGTGATGATGACGATGACGATGTGGATGCCGGTGACGTCATCAGTGACGATGACGTCATCGGGGGTCACGCGACATCGGCGGGGGTCACGTGGCCTCGAGGAGGGGGTCACGTGACCTCAGGGGAGTCACGTGACTTCGGGGGGTCACGTGACCTCGGGGGGTCACGTGACCCCCCACGAGGTCACGTGACCCCGGTGGGGGGCTCGCGCGGTGCATTATGGGACATTTCCCATGATGCACCGCGCGGTTACGCCGACGGCGACGGCGACGGCGACGCCGCTCAAGCCGGAATCGGGCCCCTAAGAGCTGCTCTCTAAAAACAATTGTTGTGGACGATACGTTGCTGAACTAAAGGGTATGAGATTCCATTTTTGACACCCGTAAACTCAATGTAGTCAGTTTCCACAAAATGCACGGAACATATGAATCGGGTAGCGTCCGCTTTCTGAGGTTCCCGTAACTGCTGTACACGAATTGCAGCCAGCCATGGGTCCCGACCCATTGATCTTTCGGAAACTTGTGTAATCTGTCGCACAATGCCACTTGCAGATGCAGGACATGCCAGGCAGCTCTTCACGCAACATCTTGGAAGTATTCTTTTCGGAGCCGATCACAGGAATTCACCACGGGCACTCACTACTACTTTCCAACAGTTAAATATACAAAACAACTTATCTTGAAGTACAGAACAGCGAGCGGAACAAAAAAAAAATTGCGGTGGCTTTTCCCGGCTATGCCAGGATATGCGTAGCGTGAGCTTATGCGCTCAAAATGAGAGGCGCTATCAAGCGGCTCCGGTGCAGCGTCAAACTTGGCTACTGCGCAACAGAGGCGCACAGCTGGGCAGGCGGCGGCGCCAGTGCGTTTGCCGTGGCTATGACGTCACTCCTCTAAAATACCGCCGGTCTGCGCGCGCGCGGCGCGCAGACCGGCGAGGCGCGCGCGGCGGCGGCGGAGCGCGCGGCGGCGGCTCCGATGCGTCAGCTGTGCGCCGTGTGACGTCACTGCTCCTCGCGCCTGCGCAGCACAGAGCACTGCTCATTATGCGAGCCACGCGAAACTGCTCAGCCTCGGCCAGTGTAGCTCAAGGCCCGTTCACACACATGCGTCCGAAGCGACCGGAACGACCGGAACAACCGAAACGACCGTTGCAAGGGTCTGCAACCGTCAGTTGCCATAGCGACGGAGGGACGCACGCACGCGTCGTTCACAACGCAAGGAGTTGGAGCGAGCCCCACTTTCCCTGCTGCGTTGGAAACAACCGAAACAACCGCAACGACAGACCAATCACAACTCGAGGAGAACGGGTCGCGTGCGTTGCATGCCGGTCGCGGGCCGGCTCCTTCTGTCTGCAAACATGGCGTCGGTGGTGATCGTCGACGTGGACGGCGTGGTGAAAGCTCATCGTTCCACGTAAAAGCGCTAGCCTTGACTGTGAATATTCGTCGTGTGTTGCTATGGTAACCCAGCACGTATTAGAAGGGAAGATCCACCTACTCATGCGGCGATGTCGTGGCAGCACTCTCGAGACAGTAGAAACGCCCGTGCCGGCGTGTTTGATCACTTCGACTACAGTGGCGCTTCCTAAGCATTTGTGTCCTCGAACATCGTCCGGATTTCTTATTTGGCGAATTTCATGCGTGTGCTCAAGTTCAAGGTACTACTGGCACGTACCGTATAAAGGATGCGAATTTTCACGCGTTTTCATCACCGGAGAAAAGTGATTAGTGTTAGCTATCCTGAACGCTCGCAACGTCTATCTGATCACGAAATCGTATTTCTATGTTGCTATATCGCTGCTAAGACTACATCGTCTTTTATAATCGTAGAAAAGGCGTGTGGCGAGATTTCTATTACTGGCAAAGTCGTGCATTAGAGTCGTTATCGTCCAAGACGGCGTACTGAATCTTTTTCTTTTCTTTTTTTTTTTCATCCACTGTACCCTGCAAGCCTATAGTGAAAAAAAATATTAATAAAGCTTTAGGCTATAGAAATCTGTCTGTCTATATTCTGTTACGCTATTGAGTGGCAATGCGTCCCCTTTTAGGGGCACTGCTGAAACAGCTGACGGCGGCGTAGAAGCGGTCGCCGTGCTGCCAACTCGCTGCGCTTGTTGCAGTGGTTGCAGGTGTGTGTACGCGCGGAGCAGAACGGTCGTTCCGGCCGCTCCGGTTGCAACGGACGCATCGCGCTCGTTGTACATGTCTGAACCAGCCTTCACGCTACAATAACTGTAAAGGAGTCGCACGGCGAACGGATCCCGCGACACATTTTGTCAGCTGCGTGCGGAAAGAAAGAAGAAAAAAATCGCACGGTCTGGTGTAGCCACGTGACTTCCGCCACTCACTCGCTCCGGTCCACTTCTCGGAGGTTTCGGTTTTGGTTTCGAGCAGTTGCGCTTTTTGGCTTTATTAAAAAAAATACGTGGCGCTGAAGCATAATATTGCCATGGACCTTGGTAAGTAAGCGCGTGCGTGGCCGAGTGGTTACCGCGCTTGACTGTCGCGCGGAAGGTGTAGGTTCGATTCCAGTCTCATTTTCTCCTTTTATTTATTCTTTACACTTGGCCTTCTCGTAAGTTCGAGAAAATTCTTTTCTGACCAAGTTCCGAATGTTCTACGCATCGAAAGTTCTACGCCAAATGATCCAGAAATCCACGAGGGTACATAGGGACTCCGCAGGACGAGCGGGGTCAGTCTCGCCCTAGCTCTCTCGAACCTGCTGTTCGACAACTTCGACGCCCGCGACGCTTTGTTCTCACTTTCTGTTTTTCCTTTTTGTTTTGGGCACAAGTTCGCCTCAATGAACGTTTAGTTTCTTCAGTTATTCTTCGCCTCATCATTTGTCATTCGTGACTATATCAATTGGGTAGGGTGGTTTCATTTGAAATCGAACACGCTTGTCTGGGTGGGTCTTTCGATTTTTTAAATATATGTCATTGCCCCATTTCTGGAAAGAACAAAACCGCTTTTTAAAACTTTTTTTAAAAATATATTTCGCTTCACAAAAAATTATTGAGTGGAGCAGGGTGAAAATCTGTTTTTTACTCCGTGATTTTTCTACCCAGTTCTGTACCCTGGTATGAATACGGGAAGCATACAAAACTCAGTAATTTTTTGTGCTCTTGTATGTTATTTTGACTATTTCTTATTTTAAAGGAAAATGCTTTTGATTTTTTTTTATGTAAAAGTGACCAACATTGTCTCTTCGACAATCCGGTGACATCTTCAGAGCCTTGTAACTCCTGAGTTATTACATTTGTCGCTTACCAAATACTATGCGGGTGTAGCCCTATATATGGGCTATCGACGGACATAAGTTTAGTTTGCTTTTATTTTCACTTAATTTTTTATATAAAACTTGAACCATGGTTGAAAATGAAATTAACCGACATTTTTGAACCCCCTTTATTCAAAAAGGCAATTTTTTATTTCGCTCATTTTTTTTTCTGTTTTTTTTTTGCTGCCGATCATATGAACTTTCCATTGGCTTGATGAGATTTCCCCCTTTTTTGCTGTTAAATCTCTCGAAGTG